CAGAACGCTCCCCGGGAGAGGGGTCCAGGGCGCAGCGGTATCGGTGCGCGTTGGTCTCCCCAGGCCGTGCACCGGCCTCGGCCCGGGTTGCCCAGAGGCCAGCGCGGCGATGCGGTTTTTTTCGGCCCGGCTCGGGAGGCTTCGCTGGCGGTGCGGTGCGTGTTTGGTCCGACCTGGCCTCCGGCCTGCCCTCTCGGGCCCGCCCCGGTCCCCGGGACCAGCCACGCACAGCGCAGGGGAAGGGGTCGTCGTCGTCGTCGTCGTCATCGTCGTCGCCGTCGCCGCCGCCGTTGTCGTCGTCGTGTTCGTCGTCGTCGTCGTCGTCGTCGTCGTCGTCGTGATCGTCGTCGTCGACGTCGTCGTCGTCGTCGGAGGAGGAGGAGGAGGAGGAAGAGGAGGAGGAGGCAGGAGGTGGAGGTGGAGGTGGAGGTGGAGGTGGAGGTGGAGGAGGAGGAGGAGGAGGAGGGGAGGAGGAGGGGAGGAGGAGGAGGAGGAGGAGGGAAGAGGGGGAGGATGTGAAGGTGGAGGAGGAGAAGAGGAGGAGGAGCAGCAGGACGAGGAGCACAGGAGGGAGGAGGAAGCCAGAGGGAGGAGGACGGGTGGGGACGAGGAGCAGCAGGAGGAGTCGGAGGTAGCACAGAGGAGGGAGGTGGAAATGGTGGAAGAGGAGGAGAGGAGGGAGGAGGAGGAGGAGGAGGAGGAGGAGGGGAGGGAGGAGGGGGGTAGGAGGAGGAGGAGGTAGGAGAGAGGAGGAGGGGAGTGAGGAGGAGGTTGAGGAGGAGGAGGAGGAGGAGGAGGAGCAGCAGCAGCAGCAGGAGGAGGACGACGCTGAGGAGGAGGTCGTCCTGTGGAGCCCCCACGCCCGGGTCCGGTGCCGGTGCCCTCCAGAGCCGCTCGGGTGTCATGCCAGCGGAGGCTTTTCCTGACGCCCATCGACACCCTGAAGACCGTTCGGCAGGTGCAGGGCGACAAGGCAACGGACATCCTGATGGCAAGGGTCAAGGAGCGTGGCCTCGGCGAGCTCTACGCGGGCGCGGTTGCGATCTTTGCCGCCAATTGGCTCGGGAATTTTCCATACTTGGCGGCGCCCACGAGGGGGTGGCGCGAGGGGGGGCGGCCTTCCGAGAAGGCAGGGAGGGAGGGCGCTCTTAGAAGACCTCCTCCTCCTCCCTCCTCCTCCCTCCTCCCTCCTCCTCCCTCCGCCTTCCTCCTCCCTACTCTCCTCACTCCTCCTCCTCCTCCTCTCCTCCCTACCTACTCCTCCTCCTTCTCCTCCTCCTCCTCCTACTCCTCCTCCTCCTCCTCCTCCTCCTCCTCCACCCCAGGGGTCTTCTTAGATGAGCCCAGAGGCTTCGAAGGCCTCTTCTAATCGGTGGTCACATGTGAGACCTACCCCACCCCCTACGATTTCCAAGGGGGTGTGTGTGGGGGGGGTCATCTCGTTTGGGGGGTCCCGAGCGGAAGAAGGGCCCAGAGGCTTCCATGACCTCTTCTAAGTTGCCGCCAGGCCCTCCTGCGAAGGCCCCTGCCTTCAGGAGCCCCGCCTGCATCCTCGGAAGACCGCCCCGCTTGCGCCACCCCCCTTCTGGGCGCCGCCAGCATACTTCTTCGTGTTCAACTCGCTGTCCGAGGCCTTCCCGGCGCCCGCGGACACGCCCGCGCGCATCGTGCGCAACGGCCTGCTCGGGATGTGCTCGAGCGTCTGCTCCGACGTGTGCTCGAACTCGCTGCGGGTGCTGAAGACGCTGCGGCAGAGCTCCAGAGACGCGGACAAGGGCTACCTCGAGGTCGCCAAGGATCGGTGGGCGCGCACCCACCGCCAGCATGCGTGCGCACGTCCAGTTCGCTCCAGAGTCGTGTCCTGGAGTCTCTGGGGTCTAGGCCTCCTAGATGGGGTCCGAGCAGATGGGGTCGGAGGATCGCGTCGCATCGCCGATGCATCGGCGATGCGGCTCGATGTGGAGCCCGATTTTCTCCACGCTGGCGTTGCCGATGCATCGCCGACGTCGCCGATGCGTCGCCGATGCATCGGCGACGCGGTGCAGCCCTCCAGCCCCCTCTGCGGGGGCGGTGGACGTGGAGATATGCCCGCCCGCTTGGGCGGGGAGCCCCCCCTGGGATCTGTCCCCGGTCGGTCTTCCAGGCCGCGGCCAGCCGCGGCGACGCGAACCTCCAGAAACGGCCCAAGCCCCACGGGCCGACGCGCGAGAGCGTCTCACTCGCGCCGGCCTCAGAGCCGCACTCGGGCCCCTCCGCCGCGCCGGCCTCAGAGCCGCACTCGGACCCCTCCGCCACGCCGGCCTCAGAGCCGCAGTCGGACCCCTCCGCCACGCTGGCCTCGGAGCCGCAGTCGGACCCCTCCGCCACGCCGGCCTCGGAGCCGCAGTCGGACGCGGCACTGCTGACACCGCTGAGGCCTGGAGCGCAACCGGTCGTGCTGCTTTCTTCGGGCGTGCTGGCCACCCGCGGGGGCGCGCAGATCATCGCGCTTCGCGTGTCGCAGTCGGGGCGACAGCGGCTGCCCTTGACCAACGGGGGCGTCGCGAGGGCGCGAGGGCGCGAAGGTCATCGCGCTGCGGCAGGATGTGCGAAGTTGGGTGACCCAGGAGCAAGGAAAGCGACGTCGTCGTCGTCGTCCTCCTCCTCCTCCTCCTCGTCCTCGTACTCGTACACATACCCGTCGTCGTCGTCGTCGTCGTCGTCGTCGTCGTCGTCGTCGTCGTCGTCATCCCGCCCATTTGTTCTTTCGCGCCGCAAGAAAGGATGTCATCGACAAGGACGGCGTCGCTGGGCTGCTCGGGCGGGGGCTGGAGACGAGGCTGCTCGTGAACATCCTCCAGGGGACCTTCTTTACCATCATCTGGAAGCTTATCGAGGACAGCCTCAACAGCCAGTGATGCTCTTGCCCCGCCTCATCGAGGGCAGCCTCATCGAGGTCCGCTGCTCCTGCCCACGCCTTCCTCCTCAGCCAGTGACGTGCGGCTTGTGCCCCGTACTTGCCGCTTCCTCCTCTTCTCTCCTCTCCTCTCTCATCCCTGCACCCCTTCTTCCCCCTCGCCCCCCACCCTCTCAGCCCCTCGCTTCCCTCCCTCCCTCCGCGCCTCCTCCCCTCCTCCCTTCCTGGAGTGTTCAGTGCACTCGCGCGTAAGCCATCTTCGTTCCCCGAGTCTGCGTGAGGACTCCGAGGATCCTTCCCTCTCCGCCCCCCCCCCTCGATGCTGCTGGCCTGCCTCGGCGGGGAGCTCGTGGTTGGCCGGCGGGACAGCAGCGTCCTTCGGCAGCGCCCCTCCTGGGCTCGTCCTCGTTCGGGAGGGTCGCCGACGTCTCAGCTTCAAGTCGGGCCTGTCCTTCTACAGGAGGAATGTTCAAAATTAGTCCAATCATCCGGGCGAAGGACCCAACCATATGCAGTTGTGGGTTCCAGAATTGTGAATATCCTCTTCGGTGAAGCTCCCTATGGGGCCACGAAGCGCTGCATTGGATTGGGGGAGCGCGTGCGGGCGGTAGCACTGGGGCCGTCGGTGGAGCTCCCTATGCGGACACGAAGCGCTGTACTCGTTATGGGGCCACGAAGTGCTGTACAGGGTGGGTGAAAATGCCGAATTGAGTTTCAGGGACGCATGCGGGCGGTCCCACTGGACCTGTCCGGCTGGGTGAGTTGTCCGGCTGGACGCATGCCTTGGAGGGTGAAAGAGGGGGTCTGCAACAGGGGGTCTTCAATGGGGGCTGAATGGCCCATGTATGCTCAATGTATCGCTCATGTATGTGATCGGGTACGATTGGCATCCAATGCTGGCGGTCATTGGTGGCCAGTCATTCGTGCCCGCGCGTTGCCCGCGCGGGCACACGCGCCGTCCATCCATTATCGTTCATGCGTGCGGGCGTTCTTGCATATTGCGCGTGGGTCGGCGAAGTGGAGTGCAAGTGTGTCTTGATTGTGCGGTTGATGATCGCGTATGTTCCCAAACGATGACTTCTCGACCCCCAAGACAGATTTGGAATGGGCCCCGCGATTCTCCAAAAATGTGAATTCACATTTTCCTTTTCTCCCAAAATGTGAATTCACATTTTCCTTTTTCCCAAAATGTGAATTCACATTCTGGCCCCTTCATAAAGAATCCTACACAAAATTCCAAAATGTGAATTCACATTTTCCTTTTTTCCCAAATGTGAATTCACATTTTCCTTTTTCCCAAAATGTGAATTCACATTTTGCTTTCCCCACAATGTGAATTCACATTTTGCCCTGGCCTTCAAGATCCCCAAAACTGAGGCGCAGTGTTCCGCATGCCAGATTGGCTGGGCAGATTTCGACACTCACCCGACCGCTTTCGCGTGTTCCAGCCTGTTCTTGTTGCGCCCTTAGCGCACGTTGCCTTCGTCGCCTTTCCCGAGCCCCCCGCCCCCTTGCTTCCTTTCCCCTCAAGTCTCGCGCGCGGGTGCAGGCGAGGGGCTTCAATTAGTTCCCCCGCCGAACACAGCAATCGACGATGCATCGCCCATTCATGACTTTAAAAGACATCATTGCCGGGACCCTGCGCCCGACCCCCACTTTCACCCTCCCCCTCTAAAGGGTGAGTTGTCCGGCTGGACCTGCGGCGTGGGTTTGCCCAGTTGTTTTGTTTCTGTTCCGATATGCCCGTCAAATCTTACGCCCTGCCTGAGCCTGTTCCGTCCTATCCTGAGCCACCGCCCGCTCTGCATACAGCCTGGGGGGAGCGGGGTCGGCGGGCCCAGGGGCGCGGCCGCGCGGGCAATGGCATGCGCGGCGGCGCCCGCTGAGGAGGGCGATGGTGACGATGCCCCCCTGGTGGCTCCGAGGCCCGCTCGCGTGGCGGGGCCGGATGGTCCAGCCCGCAGGCGGCGGCCGGCTGAGACAGGCCGAGGAGGGGATTGGGTCTATGACAGCCGCGAGGAAGCCTACGATATAGACTTCCCGAAGTGTGATCGGCACCGACTCCTCCGTTCCCCAGTGAAACTGTCCGTGATCAGGGGCCAGGTCAGCCATCGTAAGGATTATGATGCGGAGGGGCGAGTGCCCTTGCAATTCGAGGCCGAGATATTTCTCAACAGTGGCACGAGTATGCGCGACCTCTTGCTCAATGCGAATTTATCGGGTGAGTTCACGGTGCAGTGTACAGCCGTGCAAGATGATGTCATCCGGGCCCTTCCAGCGAAGGAGAGATGGCAAATGGCATGCACCTTGGCTGTTTGCTGCACGTTGCCGGCTACAGAAATCATCAGAGACAATCTTGATGAGGTCCGGAAGTTGGCGGGGCCCCAGCAAATCGTGGCTTTCATGGCGGCTAGGCTTGAACACCCGCGTCTTTTGTTTGCGCCGCATCGTATATTTAGCAAGGTAAAGCGCAATGTCCTCAAGGGCTTGTCTCGGGACGACGCCCTGAGACACTTGGCTTCGAAGCCTTACTATGTAGCTGAGCACGTTGAGCGCCTGAGAGTTCGCAACTCGGACAACGCCGCCCGCAGCAAACATGACATACTGCGGGAGATCAACGGTGTGACTTTAGAGAGCTTCGGGTTCTTCGCCAAAAAGAATTGTTGGCGTATCTTTTCACGCCATTCGTGCTCACAGCTTGAGACCAATTCTAGGAAGCTTACGGGAGATTTCAACAAGTACATGCTGGTGGGGCCTGGCGCCCGCCGGTTTTTGAATCATTATTTCGCGATGCCTAAGAAGCTCTTGGATGGTTTAGGCTCCGACGACTCATTCATCGATTTTTCGGCAATGCTGCGTTCGGCGTGGCAGGCATGCCGGACAGTGCTTGGAGAGATGATTTTGGAGAGCAGTCGCAGCGGATCCGAACTCGAATTCGCGGCCCTCAGAGCGCATTCGCGTCGAGTTCAAACCGTGGATGACTTTCAAGTATACTGCTGCGAATTCAGCAAGGTCTTGTACTTGTATGGAGCCCAGGTAGCCTTGCCCAGGAGGCGATAGGTATGGTGTAGGTGCGGGGTCTTAGCAGCTTTCCGAGGAGGCCTGCCCGCCGTAGGCGGCATCAGGGCTTGCTCTTGTAGCTGGCCCCCGGAGAAAAAGCAGCGCGCCATGGCGTTGGAGCAAGGCCTGACCCTGGAAGACACGACCCTGCGAGGTCGTGTCTCCCAGGGTCTGCCCTGTTTTTTTTTGGGCTGTGTACCTGGGTTGGGTCCCGGGGCCGGTCCTTTGCTGGGGTGCCCGCGGTCCCGGGGGTCCTGGGTCCTGGGTCCTTGGGCCGGCCGCTGCTCGTCCCCGGAGGCCCTGGGGCCTCCCTGGTGGCCTCCCTTGCGGGCGATGTGGACCGTGGTCGTCGTCGTCGTCGTCGTCGTCGTCGGTCGTCGTCGTCGGTCGTCGTCGTCGTCGTCGTCGCCGTCGCCGTCGTCGTCGTCGTCGTCGTCGTCGTCGTCGTCGTCGTCGTCGTCGGCGCCCTCGTCTGGGATAAATGCGCGTTTCCGGGAGTATTGCCAAGCGTGGATACGCGCCATCTTGTTCTCAGCCCGCTGCTCACTGTCATCGTGTGCGAGCTCCTTTGAAGCACCACATCGCTCCGTTGCTTTGCTCCTCCTCCTCCTCCCCCATCCCTCCCACCCCCCTGATAGAGAGGGGGCCACATGATGTATGCTCGAATGGGATATGCAACTGTTGAATGATGTTTTGCCACAAATGTCAAATGATTTATTGATCACGCGAGGTTCGCTTGTCTGCTCGAGTGTCTTGGAATACGCACGCTTTGCGTTCTTGCCGCCGCTCCCCCTTCTGCCCGTGCCTCGGGGGCTGGGTGTGGGTGCGTGGTGGGGGCCGCGCCGCGGGTGTGCCGTGTCGGTGCTGGGTCGTGCCGTGCCTGGGGCCCCCTGCTGTGCCGTGCCGCTTTGGGCTTTGCACGGTTGTGAAATGACTGCTTCAGACGCCGGCCGTCTGCCGGGCAGCCTTCGGCTGACCTGAGACGGGGGCGGGCGTCGTCGTTCCCCCCCCCGATCGAGCGAGGGGTCACGCGAGGTCTGCCTGTCAGCTCTTGTGCCTTGGAATCCGCACGCTTTGCGTTCCTTCCGCCGCTCCCCCCTGGGCCCGTGCTGCGGGGGGCGGGTGTGGGTGTGTGTTGGGGGGCGGGCCGTGCTGTGGGTGTGCCGTGTCGGTGCTGTGCCGTGGTTTTCGGTGCTGCCGGTGTGGTGCCGTGGCGTGCCGTGCTGTTCCTTGGAGGGCTTTGAGTGGCCTTGAGACCCCTGTCCTGGCTGCTGGACAGATTTCGTCACTGGGTTTTTGTGGGTTGCCCTGCGCCCCGGCCCGCTCTCCTGCCGCTCGTCTAGGGGCGCGCTCGGGGAGGCGTTCAGGCTCCTTTTTTTTTAGGCTCGCGTGGGCGTGGCCTTTTTGTGCTCAAGTTACGTTCAGCGGCGCAGCGGACCCCGTTCAAGTGTGACGCCCAGCGCGCTCCAGCCCGCAAGAGGCGCGTCAGGCCGCGGCCGTGCCACCCCGGAGACGGCGCCGCAGCGAGCATGGGCGCGATGAGCGCCGCAGCCGCAGTCGGAGGCGACGCAGCAGCTCCAGCAGCAGATCACCCTCGAGGCGCCGCCGTAGCCGCGCGAGGCCCAGGCCCCCCAGGCCCCGCAGGTTCCAGTACCCCTCGGGCCACGGCCACAGGTCTTCCAGCTCCAGTCCCTCGCCCTTGCCGGCAAGTGGTGGGCCGCCGAGCGGGGTTGGGGGTGGTGATGCGCTCAGCCCGTGCGGGCTCTCCGCAGCTCTGGGGGAATTCACCCCGACGTCCCCGCCCCCAGGTAACTTCAGCATCCCTGGGGTGACAGGTAAGGCGCGGCCGGCGGCCCCGGCCCACGCCTCGGCGCCTGGCACCCCGCAGGCCGCCCGTCACGCCAGCTCGCCGCCGGCGCAATGGCTGGGGTTTTCGCCGGCGCCGGCGTCGCCACCGCCGCCGCCGCCGCCGCCGCCACAGGAGGAAGCGCCGCCGGCCCCGCGCTCCCCGACTCCGGCTGTGACTACCCCCCCGGGACCCGCGGCCCGCTTCCCCGGGGCGGCCGCTCCTAAACCCCCCGCCATTGCTGGAGGGCTGGGAAAGCCGGCGCGACCCATGCAACGGCCAGCTCTACTTCATTCACAAGACCGCGAAGGTGAGCCGGTGGGGCCACCCGGCCGCGTCGCAGGCAGCGCCGCCGGTTGCCGCGGACGTGCCCCGTGCCCCCGCAGCTTCGGCGAGCCCCGTGCCTCGTCCCCCCGCAGCCACGGCGCGCCCCGTGCCCCGTGCCCCAGGTGGGGGCGCCCCCGCAGCAGTCGCGTCCAAGGCTGCTCAGGCGCAAGCGCAGGCGAACGACCTGCGTCTCCTTAAGGAGGCCCTCGCCGAACTCCAGACCGATAAGCCGCCCTGGGAAGCCTTTTTCAGGTGAGACGGGCCAGCGCCTGTGGATCCATAAGGGCACGGGCGCCAGCCAGACAACTGAGCCCCCTGAGGATGCGGCGCGCCTAGCTCAGGTTGCCGGGTTACGTGGTCGCCTTGCTATGCTTGAGAACCGCGCCCCCGCCTCCTGCCCGCTCCTCGGGCAGCCGCCTGCAGCGTCTACGCGAGTCGATCCCGAGTCGCGGGCTGCGCTGAAAGGGAGGCTGGAGGAGGAGGCAGTGGAGCAGGCCCTCCTCCAGGGAGCCCAAGCCCCACAAGCTCGCCTGCAGCCCGGGACCTGCTCACCTCGGCCACGCTGCGCACCCAGTCGTACCTCGACTCAGCCTTGGGCGCCTGGCAGCGCCAGATGCGTGACGCAGTAGGTGGAAGCAAGGACGGCAGGGTCAGCGTCGAGGCGACGTTCCTTGTGGGTTCCTGCTCCTCCAAAGAAGACCTCCACCGGCTCGTTAGAGACATCGGCGCCACCATCGCCCATGGTGACACCCGCGCGCGGAGCCCCGCGACACCGCGCCCGCCGCCGCGACTTTAACCAGCCAGCTTTGGAGGTAACGTTCCGGGTGAGCCCCTTAGCCAAGTTGACCATCCAGCTTGAGAACAAAAGGAAGGGCTTCGTGAACGTCAAAGGAAAACGGTCTGTCCTGGAAGCGAACGTGGAGGAGCTGCCCATGTATTTCGGGCCAGTGGCGGGGATCAAAGCCGCCACGCCCCCTGCGCAGCACGCTGACGACGCTCGGCCGGTCGCGCGCCTGTCGGCCAGGGAGCGCCTCGCGGGCGCCGCAAGGCCCCCCACCTTCCAGCAGAAGAACGTCACTGTCGGGCGTCGGCGGGGGCCGCTGGCTGCGCCCCCCGTCGGGGCAGGGGAGTGGCAGTTCCGTTTTCCCCCGCATGTCTTGTGCTCCTCGTCCCGTGTCTTTCCCATCCTGCCCGTGCCCGCCCCTCCTGCCGCCCCCTAATGATTATGCTTTCGCTGGCTGTGCAGATCCGTGGGAGGGAGTTCCCGCGCGATGCCTCGGGAAAAAGATAACAACTCTGCGGCGGCATGGCGCGTGTAGCAGAGACTGTGCGCTTCGCAAGCCCCTTCCGTCCCCCACTGTGGCCCCCGGTCTCGCATCTCGCATGGGCCGTAACAGGAACTGGCAGTCTGGGGTCCCCGCTAACGACTGCGCCAGGCAAACAGAGAGCACGGCAGGTCACATTCCACGCATGTGCGCAGCAGCAGGAGTGGGTTAGTAGTAGGCTCCTGAGGCAGGGGTAGCTGGGAGCAAGGAGTCAGCATGCCTGCCTGTGCGCTGTCTTGTGTTGTTGCCTTGCCTCCCTCTCTCACGACCTGTCAGCAAGCTTGTAATGTGATGGGGCAGATGCACCGCGGACGGCCAGGGGAGTTGCCGCTGCCGCTCGATGATGTGGCCAGGGTCGCCACCGCCGCTGCTGCGCCGTTGCCGTCGCCCTTGCCGCCGTCGGGCAATCGATGTCGCGTCGCGTCGAGCTGGTGGTGGTGGTTCTGCCCGCCCGCGCAGCCACCTCTCCCGCGCGGCCTGGCGCGCCGCCCGGTCGCGCGGCGCGGGCCGGCCGATGGAGGCTGATCGGGGCGCCCGTGCGCGGCCGGGCGTCTTAGGAGAAGCGCAGAAGCAGCTGCGCCCCTTCCGCTCTTTCTGCCAGGAGTGGCTAGCGCGCAGCCCCCGCCGGCTGGAGGCCGCGGCGGCCCTGCGCGACGTCCTGGCGCTCTTGGAATTGCTGCCGCTGCGCCCTGCCCACGTGCTGAGTGGAGCAGGGCCGGCGTTGCAAGAGCCGTGGGCCTTCGCTGATGAAATGGCTTACATCCTGAAGCACGTCCTTACCGCGCCTCTGCGTGTGCTTGCCCCCAAGTCGCCAGTGGTGGGCCCCCCCTATGCCGGGCCGCCTCCTGTTGCGGAGGCAGCGCTGGTGGGCGGGGCTCCTTTTGATGCCCCTGCCCGAGCGACCCTGCTCATTGCCATTTTAAACCCGGGCCGCTGTGGGTTCCTGCAGTTGGGGGCCGACCATCTGCTGGAGTGGCGCCTCGAAGCGGCTGCTCTTGCCCTCGACGCCCAGTCAGTGGACATCTGTGTTATCCCGGGGGCTCGGTTCCCCGAGGGTGCGACGCTCCCTGGGGACTTCCCTCATTGTTGGGATGGTGCCCGGTCCGCGCCGTGGGACTCTGTTGGCATCTTCTTTCGCCCGGAAGTCGAGCGCGTGCTTCGACCTCTGCCAGACCTCTCTTCGAACAGGGAGCAATGGTTTGAGGTGTGGGGCGACGGGCCCGCGCAAGGCCCAGCCGTAGTTTTCTGCGCCTTCTACCCCAGGCACGGAGGGGATACGGACCCTTGGAGATCCGTCGCGGCGCATGCGACGCTCTGCCAAGACCGGTGCCCACGCACACGTGTGCTTCTCGGGGGGGGGCGGGGGCGTCCATTTGGAATACTTGGTTGATCGCCCGGAGCTTTGCACTTGCGCGCGCTGCAAGCAGTCCTCCGCGGATGAAGAGATCCAGCAATGGCTGGGGGCTGCGGGGCTCCTGGCATTTAATCCCCCCACGCCGGCGCATGTCTCAGGCACCTGCATCTGACCTTTTTTGTTGGTGTGAGGGCGTCGCCCCTCCCCGTGCACGTCAAGCCTGATTTTATTGCTCTATCTGACCATCGCCTAGTCATTGCAGAGGTGCCGTGCCAGTTTGCAGCCCCGTGGGCAGCGGGCCTTGGTAGAGTGGCCTGGGCGTCGGGCCCCCAGTGGGACGGGGGCCTCAGGGAAATCTCAAGTACCCTCGAGGCGCTCAGCCGGTGCGTGGAAGTGGTGTCGAGCGCCTCGTGGTTGCGGCCGCAGTGGTTCGGTGGCAGTGCCACCAGGTTGCGCAGGCGCGCGGTAGTTAACGTTGCGGCATGGGCCCGCGATGCCGTCTACACCTTGGTGGGGCACGCGGCTGGCGCCACCGAGGTGATGGGGCAAACGACGGATCCCGCAGGCCACCGCTCGTAAGCTGCTGGGCCCCGCCAGCTTTGCGTCGCACCAAGAATCTAAAATGGAAGTAGCACGGGCTGCGTGGGGCGAGCGTAGGAGGGCGGTCCACCGTTTTTTGCATCTCCGGGAGGTCAACCCTGGCGCCGCGGAGCGGTTCCTTCCGGGTTTCTTCCAGGTGCGAAAACGCTGTGACGTGAGGCTGGCAGACCCGACCACGGGGGCCACGATGCCACCCTCGGAGATGGTTGAGGCCGTCCAACGCGATCTTTTCGCGCGCGATAGGAACGATTTTGAGGAGGACCCGGAGGCCGCGGTGGCCATGGAGAGACAGGTTGCCAGGATCAGGAAAGCGGGTGCCCTGGAGGGCGCGCCTGCTCCGTCGCCCCCGTATCCGGACACGGAAGTGATCGCTGTGCTGGAGGCTTAAAAACCAGGCAAACGCACGCTGCATGGCTGCTACGCCGCCCTCCGGGCGGAGGCCCCTGCAGGGATACGCCTGACTAAGGCCCTGATGAACCTGGCACGCGCCGCTTGTGTGACTGCGAGAATCTGGTCGCTGCGGCAGATCACGCCTCTTCGCAAGAGTGGCCCAGCCACCGTGCGTGCCGTGTCCGCCTTGCGGCCGATTTCAATCGCCACGGATATGGCGTCTGTTCAGGACGCCCTCTGGATTACTCGGAGCTGCGGTCTGCTAGAGGCGTTTTGTGGGCCATGCCAGCAAGGTGGCGTTGGAGATGCCCTTGCTCTTGTCGTGGGCTTGGTCCTGCAAGCCCAGCTGCGCCGCGCGCAGGGCCTCCGCACCTGGTGGGCCCTCGCGGGCGGGAAGTGGGCTTTTGATGTGGCGTCGCGCCATGCCATGTTGTTAGGTGTGTTCCAGGCCGGCGTGCGTGGGCATGGCTAATCCTAGACGACGTGATGGCGCAGGATCACCAGTGCCTCTGCTTGCGTGGGCTGCTCAGCCCGGTTTTCATGCTGCTACGTGGCGCTGCCCAGGGCAGGCGTTTTTTCCGTGCATGTTTTCAACGCCCAGCTCCGCGGGCTCGCGGATGACATAGCGGACGTGCTCCCGCAGGGCTGTAGCGCGATCGTTCCGCCGTGCGCACGGGCAGCTTTGCTCGACGCGGTGGAAGACGCGCCGCCAGTGCACTGCGCCGCCCCGCCGCGGGGGGAGTTCCAGCTCGACGGTGTCGTGAGGGGGGCGTCGCGTCTGGCAGCGGCGGAATTGACGCCGTGGCCGCAGGCGAGGCACTTCCTGAGCGGGGCCCTGAGTGAGCTGTCGTCGCTGGCCGATCGCATTGACGTGGTGGGGCGCTTAGGGTCTCACCACGTAGCCCCCCCGCAGTTTGTAGATGACATCGCGGCGCCTTGCCCGTCAGAGGGGGCCAGTAGGGCAGTGTTGTCCGAGGGGGAATGGTCAGCCTGTAGCCGCTACGCTCGGCGCGTGAAGGGGCGCTTTAATTGCGAGAAGGGTAAGACGGCGGCCCTGCCCCTCCTGGGCCCCCCCCCCGCCTCTTTCTGCAGGGGCCCCAGTTGTGCTCACTAAGCGTCTCCTAGGCGTCCTAGTGGACGCTGACCTCACCTTTCAGCCGCTGCTCCAAGAGACACTTGCGACAGGCAGGAGTCTTTTTGAAGATTTACTGCAGGCGACCGAGTGCGGTGGCTTCTCTGTCCCGGTCACCGCAGCGCAAGTCCCCCCCTCGCGTGGGGTCGGTTATCCTTTACGCCTCTCCACTGCTGGCACTAGCCGCAGGGGCTGAAGTAGCGCTGAACCGCCTCCAGGTTGAGTGGGGCCGCAAACTCCTCGGCTGCCACACGGGCCCGCCTGTCGGTCACAGTGTGGTAGTGGCCCAATGCGGTTGGCCGCTGAGGCTGGGCGCAAAGTTTTTGGAGCGTGCCTTGATGACGCAAGCCAGGCTCGCCGTTCTCCCGTTGGGCCACCCGGCGACCCGGGCCTGGCAGGCTTCACGGAACATGCGCGTCCCATCCTGGGACACCGCTGTGACTGCGCTAGCAGGGCGCCTTCCGTCGCCGCCGGTGATGTTGGATAGGCGCCCAGCTTGTGTCGGGGAGCAGCTGGAGGCTGCGAGATGTCATCCCGAGCGGCGGAGAGCCCTCTTGGGTTGGGATCGCTGGCAGGTCGCCCGCCCGGCGTTGCTCGAGTGCGACCTGCCAGCGTTCAGAAAGGCAGCATCGGTAGTATTTCCTTCGCTGCAGCGCTCGTTTGCTGAGCTCTGCCCGGGCCCGCCCCCCCAGGATTGGAATTTTCTGGGGCGGGGGGGTCCCCATAATTTTGGAAGCACTACTGGGCGTGGGCGGTCGCGCGCATGACGGGTTGCTGGCCCCTTTCTGTGCTTGGCCAGGGGGGGCTACCGGCCATTCCCCCTCGGCGCGGTGCGTGCGGTGCGTTGGGCGCGGGCGTTGGCCGCCCCCTCGTGGCGCTCCGGGCCACGGCAGTGCGCCGGGCCTGCTGGCACGAGACGGCCCGCGCATCCAAGACGTTGCCCCAGAATTGGCCCTGCAGGTCCTCTTCTGCGAGGGTCTTCCATCGCGTGCCCGTGCAGGGCACGTCAGTTATGTGGGAGCTGCGGTGATGCAAGCTGCTTGGCCGGCCCCGCCCCCGCTTCCCCCGCCGCCTCCTCCGCCGCCCCCGCCTCGCGCGTCTCCACCGTTTGCGGAGGGAGCTGGTGACTTGTGATCGTCGTCGTCGTCGTGCCATTTTTCCTTGGCTGGTCTGACGGGGCCTGCCCGGTCCGCCCTGCAGACCGCGGGGCCGATTCGGGCGCGAGCGGGCCGTGCCATAGCTGTGCCTCCTCGGCCGCTCCCGCCTCGCGCGTCTCCTCCGTTTTCGGAGGGAGCTGGCGTCTTGCGAGTCGCCCTGGCGTTTGGCCAGCCCCCCGCAGAGGCGTGTCGCACGATGAGTACTCTGCGGGGAGAGGCCGCAAGGGCCAAGCACCGCCCGGCTGCCCGTCCGCCTCGCGTCCAACGTGGCGGGGGGGGGAGCGGTTTCTCGCGGTTCCGCGCTGTCCATTGTGAGTCAGCGGGGAGAGCGGCGCCCCCCCCCCCCCCCCCCCCCCCCCCCTTCCACCCCTCCCTGCCCCGGTGAGGACCTGCGCTGCCCGGAGGGCAGCTGGAGGTGTTGCAGATGTGGGGGCGCGATGGGGTGTGAGAGACCACCGCCTGGCGGCGTCCATATCTTCCCTCGGAGCGGCTGCTTGCGACAGCTGTGAATGGCGGCGCGCCCGGGGCCGGGCGGCGGGCGTCCGGCGGGCGCCCGGCGCGGGGCCCGGTGGTGTCGCGTGAACGCGAAACGAAACGAAACGAAACTGGGGGCTTCGGTGGAGCTCGTTATGGGGCCACGAAGCGCTATACTGGATGGTGGGAAAATGCCGAATTGGGTTTGCGGGGCGCATGCGGGCGGCCCCACTTGGGGGGCTTCGGTGGAGCTCGTTATGGGGCCGCAAAGCGCTGTATTGGGTGGGTGAAAATGCCAAATTGGGTTTCCGGGACGCACGCGGGCAGTCCAACTGGGAGCTTCGGTGGAGCTCGTTATGGGGCCACGAAGCGCTGTATAGGGTGGGTGAGATGGCAGAATTGGGCTTACGGGGCGCATGCGGACGGTCCCACTGGGGGGGCTTCGGTGGAGCTCGTTATGGGGCCACGAAGCGCTGTATTGGGCGGGTTAAAATGCTGAATTGGGTTCCCGGGGCGCATGCAGGCGGTCCCGCTGGGCTTCCATGGAGCTCGTTATGAGGCCACGAAGCGCTGTACTGGGTATGTGAAAATGCCAAACTAGGTTTCCGGGGCGCATGCAGGCGGTCCCACTGGGGGGGTTCGGTGGAGCTCGTTATGGGGCCACGAAACGCTGCATTGGGTGGGTGGAAATGCCGACTTGGGCTCCTGGGGCGCATGCGGGCGGTCCCATTGGGGGGCTTCGGTGGAGCTCGTTATGGGGCCACGAAGCGCTGTATTGGGTGGGTGAAAATGCCAAATTGGGCTTCCAGGACGCATGCGGGCGGTCCCACTTGGGGGCTTCGGTGGAGCTCGTTATGGGGCCACGAAGTGCTGTACAGAGTGAGTGAAAATGCCGAATTGGGTTTGCGGGGCCATGCGGGCGGTCCCACTGGGGGCTTCGGTGGAGTTCGTTATGGGGCCACGAAGCGCTGTAGAGTGTGTGTGAAAATGCCAACATGGGATTCAGGGACGCTTGCGGGCAGTCCCACTGGGTGTATCGGTGGAGCTTCCTATGGGGTTTCGAAGCGTTATATTGGGTGGTTGAAACGCAGGGAGGGAAGAAAGGGGGGGAGGGGGAGGAGGGAGGAAGGAAGGAGGGAACGCGGGAACCGTCTCTTGAAAAGGAGGACCCAACACCACAGGATGGTTGGTTTTTTTTTCTTTTTCTCTTCTCCCCCGGGTATTTTGACAATGTTTGAATCTATGTTTGACTATCTTTTTTTGTTGTCTAAGAGGACATGCCCGAACTAATCTTACCTGGCCCTCATCCGATCTTCACTTCTCCTCCTTCTCCTCCCTGTCTCTCTTCTCCTCTCCTCAACCTCCTCAACTTCACTCTCCGTGCTCACCCACCTTCTAACCCTGCAGTTCCCTCCTTCCTTCCTCCCCCTCCTCTTTCCACTTCCTCTTCATCTCTCCCTCCCATCCCCCCCTCCCCACTCTTCCCTCCCCCCCTCCCTCCCTCCCTTCCTGACCTCTTCACAACTACATGATGTGAATACTACTCGCCTCTCTCCCCTGGTGACGTCGGGGAAAGATTCGCCCCCCCTCCGCGTGCTGGGTTTTTACACAGGGTTCCCGGGAAACGGATTTAATTTTTTACCAGGGTTCTCGCTGAAAGGCTGGCCTCATTTTCTGACTACCGCTCGTTCCGAATCGTGTTCCCGCTGCAGCGCTGGTCTCATTTCCGCGGTCCCGCTCGTTCCGAGTCGTGCTCCTACTGCAGCGCTGGCGTCATCATGTCCAGCGCCATGCCGCGGCGTGGTTTTCGATCCTTCCAGCTAGGCCCCAAATCTAGAAACTGTCCCCCCCGAAAAAACTATCGGAAGTTCCACAGTCGGTGTCGATTCTTTGGCCTCAAAAGCGCGCTTCCGCTCGTTCCGACTCGTGCTCCCGCTGCAGCGTTGGCGTCATTATTTCCAGCGCCATGCCACGGCATTGTTTTCGAAACAGGCTCCACAATCTAGAAACTGCCTCCTCGAACAAATAACAATCGGAAGTGATTACACATTCGGTGTCGATTCGTTGATTTTTTCGGCCGCAGAAGCCCCCCCTCCCCCACCACTTTGGGCCGTCACCACGCCATGCCATGTCATGCTACGCGTTGATCTTCGACATCATGATATGCCATGTACTACTATGCCATGCTACGACATCCGACTGTGCGATCAGAGGGGAGAATTACGCCGT